AAAAAATGCCGAAGCTTACAGGTTATTTTAAACCTGTAGGCCAGGATGAGGAGGAAGGACAGATTAGTTCTGTACTGAGCAGCAGCGGTGTGTGTGTGTGTGTGTGTGTGTGTGTGTGTGTGTGTGTGTGTGTGTGTCAGAGCCTGCCGAGGCTATAAATGACTTTGATTTGTTGTTTAAATAGGGGGCCTACAAAACCCATCAGCCCCAGGTCCTGATGGCAGGTTAAGGCGGGCTTGGGTACGACATTGAAAAAGTTACATTAAATAATAAATACATTACAATAAAATGACTGTTTAATCTTCACATCTTGTAATGACATGTTACTTGTTAGACGCTTTTATCCAAAGCGACTTACTTACTCAATACTGTGGACAATCCCCACAGGAGCTATTTGGGGTGAAGTGTCTCAGGGACACAACGACATGCTGACTGCAGTGGAGTTTGAACCTGTGCTCCCCTGATCCCAACACCAACGCTCTATCAACTGCACCACACGCCGCCACCTTTAAATCATGTCTATAATTTTGAGCACCAAATTATTGAAAAGTATCGATAAGAGTATCAATAAATACCGGTATCGATAAGCAGTATCGGTATCGATAAAATCGATACCCATCCTTACCAACCAGGCTTATCCTGGAATTATCTTGATCTGAACTCAAAGTTGAAGAGTTGACGTGAAGTTTTTTTGTGTGCTCAGGGCTGCAGCATACAGTAAACTAGGGAACTATGCTGGAGCGGTGCAGGACTGTGAGCAGGCCATCAGCATCGACCCAAACTACAGCAAAGCCTACGGGAGGATGGGGTAAGACCAGGCTCGGTCTCAGCTGCTGCCTTCTGAATAAACTCACTGTATTACAGCTCCCTTTCTTCTGAAATGCAGCAGCATTTGTCAGGCTTGTTCCCTCTGCTGACTGTGAATCTTGTTTTTTAGCTGTAGCAGCTGTAATAGATGAAAGATAATGTCAACTTCAGATTGTTCAACTACGTGCAGGTGGTGCAGGAATGAGTCCTAAAACTCGGAAGCACTTTGGGTCACTTGTTGCGACTGATTTTTTAAATGTGTTTCTGGTTAGATGCCTGAAATAAGGACTGTGGTTAATATAAGCTATCAAGATTATTTGTTTTGCAGGAAATATATCATTTAATTAATATGTGGAGATTATCCTACTGAACAAAACATATATGAATCATCAATGTTTGTTTCCCGCGGAGCACGTTTTCTGCTATAAACTGGAGAAATCCCATTAATGCTTTGTTTCAGGGAGCCTTTGCAATGTTAACTTCCGGGTCGGCCCACTAAAATGCATCCTCTCTGCACCACTCTATTTGAGCAAAATGATTGATTCATTTCGTTCTTTGTTTTTCAGTTTGGCTCTGGCCAGCCTCAACAAACACACAGAAGCAGGGACTTACTACAAGAAAGCTCTGGAGCTCGACCCCGACAACGACACCTACAAAACCAACCTGAAGATCGCAGAGGAGAAGATGGAAACGTCCAGTCCAGTAAGAACAGAGAAGACGTTTTATACAGAGCAGATATGCAGGGACATGTGTGTACTCACCCCCCCCCCCCTCTCTCTCTCGCTCCTTCTCTCTCTCTCTCTCTCTCTCTCTCTCTCTCTCTCTCTCTCAGACAGCAGGGATGGGTGGAGTGGATCTGGCCGGTCTGCTCGGTAACCCCGGCTTCATGAACATGGTGAGAGCTCATTCTGTCTGTTTCTGGACTGCCTTCATCTGTCCAATCCTACCTAAACAAAGGTTACCTAAATCAGCCTGTCTGTAATTTATATAGATTATAATGTTCTTTCTCATAGTTGTCATGTATAAATGAGGGGTGCAGTGATAAGCTATTGTAGTAGGCCGACCCAGAAGTTTGCATCACAAGTGCTCCCTAGGCAAAAAGCAATGAGAGTTCTCCACTGGATGTTGGTGATTGCAGAAAATAAACTCTGTGGCTAACGAATGTTCATCTTACTTATAGAGCTGCCCCCAATTAGTCGACTTAATGTTAGTTGGCGAAAAAAGTATTTGTGAACTAATTTTTCATTAGTCTATTAGCCCCCAAAAATGCTAGCTTTCATTTCATGATGAGGGTTTAATGTGCGGAGGGATTTTTGACGACGCGCATATGTCTCGGTGTTTCCGTTTCCTGTGTAGTATTTATTGGGTTGTTATATTCAGATATGAATTATAGAAACTAGAACTAAATGCTTAGTGTGTGTACTCGCTGCTTGCTCCGACACACATTAAGAATCCTGACCGGAGCTTCTGCTGTTTATACCGCTGACGGGCGGACACTCTGACCGTGCGTTGCGCTGTGACTCATGCACTTTCTAAGTGTAACATTTAATCTATATTTCAAAGGTTCATTATTACTGCTTTGTTTTATGTGAAGCACAACGTACCATGCTCTTATAATAACGTTCTTTATCAGCCTTTGAAACTGATACCATTTTGGGAGAAATACAACATAAACAATAATATTAATAATCATACATTTTTACCGATTAGTCGACTTTTCGCCTGAATTGAGGACTATTGGTCGACTAGAAAATCTTTCGTCGAGGGCAGCCCTAGTTACCTATATGTTTATTTCAGTCAGATAATTTCCACATATTATACCACTTTTATTTTCCTTTTCACTTAGGAAACAAATGCTAAACTTTTTAGCGGGTGCTTCTCAAAGGTGTTAAACACTGCAGATTACTAATCCGAGAGATTCTTCACTAATGGGTCCCAAAATCAAGCATGAACCCGATATTTCTAAATAGCCCACTACTTTTGATGGTTGATAGACTGCATGTATACAAGCGCTATCACATATAGAAAGCATTCACACACATTCATACAGAGGCAGAGGCTGCCATACAAATTGCACCTGCTCAGGCACAGTATCATTCAAACACACACTTACACACGGTTTGCCATGCCATCAGACACAATTTGGGGTAAAGTATCTTGCCCAAGGGACAGTCGACATGTTTAGTGCAGGGCTTGGAAATTGAACCACAGACCTTCAGGTTAGACAAGGACCATCCACCTCCTGAGCCACCCCAGATTTTTCAATCCAGATAATAATAATAAAAAAAAAAACAGCCAGCAAACTATGGCGTTCACCTAACATTTGACGGTGTGAAGTCGCTCCTCTGTTTGGTTTCAAGTGAAAGGATTCAGAGCCTTTAACACGGCAGTTTCAAAGGCGAACAGCTGAAAACTCAATTGAATGAATCTTGGTAAATTCTGAGATGTTTGGTGTTACGTTTATTTTTCAAAATGTACCAACACTCATTAATAACCAAAAAGGATCCTTGTTTAAAAACACAATAAAATGAAGGCTACTGTATCTGTAAGTCCCAGTGTGGGTCAGACTCTACTCGTATAATAATGCATTTGATTTTTACTGATTCTAAGGTTTTCTTTTGGTAATGCTTCCTGTACCTGTTGGAACTCTGCTCAGAATGAATATGTAAACTTCTGTCTCCCTGCAGGCGTCCTCTCTGATGAACAATCCTCAGGTGCAGCAGCTGTAAGTGGATTTTCAGTTTCTCTCTGTCTGTTTCTTCCCTTCTGGTTTTTGTTGAGGGTAACTTCCAATCTGTTCTCTCTCCATCAGGATGTCAGGGATGATGTCAGGAGCGTATGGTGGGATGCCAGGAGGAGGTGCTGGAATGCCAGGAGGAGCAGGAGGAATGCCAGGTGGCTTGCCAGGAGGAATGCCAGG